CCGCTCGGTATGGGCGGTCCGTATACCGATCTGCTGAAGGACCAATACATACCGCCCGGTACGGGCAGTATTATTCGAAATTATAATCCTTGCTCCATATAAACTAAAAAAAGAACAATGGAGAAGTTAAAGAGGAAAAACAAGATAAAACTTCAGAAAGATATTTTTCTCACACCACACTCCGTGCCAACCTCCTTTTTTTACTCTGTTAATTCAAATGCACCAGAAGCAGAGTGTTCAGTGTGGATGTTTTGACCATTGGTGAGCATGAATTGACATACACAGTTTCTGCCCATAAAGAGTGGTATGTACTTGTCGGACAGGCGACTGGGACATAGATTACTTAGATTCTAGCTATATTCTAGTGAGCTGGTTAAACAACTAAGATATCTACAAATTAGGATGCAATGCAACCTGATTTCACTGAAACCCCACTGAAAATAGAGCCCCCTAAAAAAATCATGGATAACACTCACGACCATCCAAACCACTTTCCCCTTTTCACCAACACTATCTCCTTTCTTCTAACACAGCCTCCCTTATAGCAAAACTGTTGAGCAAATCTGGCCAATCGTCATTCCCCCTGGGGATTCAGCAACTTCTCCTAACTCTTTGAGAGTTAGAATATATAAAACAGATGAATAACTTAACGTTATCAACTTATCAATATAATATGTAAAACATAATCCAAATGTATACACAAGTTTCATTTATCAAATAAAAAAGCAATCAGACAAAGAGGTCGTAACACTATGTAATGATAACAGTTACAACGTATCTCCAATAACTAAATAACAAAAAATAGCCATCTAGTAACTATAGCTTTTCAGGTTAGGCTGTAATAGTATATAATGATGACAATTGCAGGGCTCCAACATACCTCCAATAACTAAATAACGGAAAAATAACCATCCGGTAACTACAGCTTCACTAACCTGCAAAGATGCAATACCAAATTCAGCAAAACTTTGCATTATGTATAGCTCATGGAAATATTGCATTTTAATGACCTGTAAACATTGATACACATATTAATCCCTAGAAAAATTAGATCGTAATGCACAACACCCTTTTGAGGATTTATTAACATATCTATTGTGGCACCTGCCAATGACAAACCAGATGATTTATGACAATACCCTTTGAGGTAAATCACTGACTGTTGGAGAACAATGGAGGCTCATGATGCATAAGTCTCAAACTCTACATTGTTAACAAGAGGATCATGGAACTTTTGTTTAAACCTTTTAACAAGATCTAGACTCAACTTTAACCTGTCTTCTGAGATAGGTGGATGGGCTTTTAGAGTGTCCCAACCAAAACAGTTAAGTTTAACAATCCAAGTTTGGCTGATCCACACTATGGTCTAGTTGTAGATGCATACAAACCAAGAGATAATAGGATTTATAGGATGCTGCCATTTGGACTTAAACCAAGATGCGCTAGTGCTACTTCCTAGGAGCAGCATGTCTACCAATTTTACACACTACAGCTTACTTGAAATAATAAGTCAAATCATGTTGAACAAACATGATTCAAGGATTCTCAAGATTCAAAAAAGGATTCTTTCAAGTTTAGGAAGCATTAGAGTTAATGAATAAAATTCACTTCAACACGTATTTGAGTTTGACCCAAAATGGCAATCCCTGCAAAAGGAGAACATATGAATAAAGCTTTTCAGGGATTTGTCTATAATTAATAATAAGATACAAATACTAATCAGCCACCACTTTTAAGCCTTTTCCCATTACTAGGGGCTGACTTGATATAAAGAGCAACCCAAAAAGTGAAAAATACTCACCTCGAAGTGGATTTGCAACCAATTTGAAGTACATAAAGATTAACTATTGAAATATTAATGAATGCAATCTAAAATAATGATATAGTAAAATACTATAATGAATAAAATCTAAGATAATTATATAGTAAAATACTATAATTTTAAAACTATTTCATAAATTTTAGGAATAAATTAATCTATCCTTATAGCTGCTTTAAAGGTAAAATAGATTAACAAATTCTAGATCTGTTTCTGAAAATGCTTTTTCTTTTCTTATCCGTTTTCTCCTTTTCTCTTCTCTTTTATCTATTTAGTGGATGGATTTTGTGTAGAAATTTTGAGGGCATCTCATGGACTTAAAACTCGGCAGCATTGGCTACCAGTTGGCACTACTCCAGAATAGCTATAATCAACCAGAATCAATCAAGTCCAGCTACCACCAGAGTCCAAACAGGTTTGACTGAGTGCTACATGTCTGCCAAGCTCATCATCCTTAGCAGTATATGTAGTGTTCTGTTGACATGAGTATTATCATGGTTTTATGTTCTGCCAGGACCGGTAAGTACCAGGCCAAACACATCGGTCCAGGCTTGAATATTTCTCCTCTTCTCCGCCACCCTCCCCTGCCCTCTTCTACTATGTTGTCTCCTCGGCTACCACCTCTTCATTCCCCCTTGTTCCGTAATACACACAGGCATACCATGCATCAATATGCCAACAAGGACCGGACCAATACTGGCCTGGCCATGTACTGCCGTGGGTCGAGTACCCGAAATGTAAATTTTTGGATATGATGGTAACAGCCAACTCCAAGCATCATAGTATATAGCATGTATTACATTGATCTTATACACAGAAATTCATCCATTATCACAGCTAATTAATGTCTTACATGGTGGCCATTGTTACCAACCATCTAACGATGTCCTTAGCACCTTCAGACTATCCAACATGCTGAACTGCTTAAATAGTCCATGCTAAGGAGCTACACCAAGTCATGTATATTACTGACATTACGTAAAGAACAAAAAGTGGAAAAAATAAAATAAGGATAAACAATTGTTCAGTAATCATCAGATGCAGGTTTAGTTGGACTGCACGTCAACACTTTGCACAACAAAGATCGCCAGCTCCTAACAAAGAAAGCTGATGTTCGTTCTAGAATTATTGGTGTAATATACCTTACGAGGCTTTGCCATCATCACATCAGTATCTTGCTTGTTAAAACCAATTGCTGTTGCGGGCAGGCCATCAGTTACCAAATTTACCCACAGGAGCTGCACCTGAATTATGAAACATTCAACTGTTCATGTTGGTTCTCAAGATCCAGTATACAATAACAACTATTATTACAAACAAAATAATGGCATGCAAGCTCTCAAAGAACAGCAAGAAGTTGGTTCATGATACTATACTAGCATATGTTTGTTAGTCCAAAAATAGGTTCATGATATTAATGTCGGTTTGTTAGTCCAACAATACAGCAAAAACAACAAGCACTTTGGGTTGCCTACATCGATGTTGTCTTACCATCGAGTCCTGTGTAGGGCAAATGAACTTCAACTATATAACATGGGTAAAAATGATAAAGGAAGTATGTGCAATTCTTGATGTGGATATCACCTAGCTTTGGGTGGCGTCAGAGAGGAGGAACACAAATAGGAGAACAGGTAATGCATAAGCATTATATTAAAGAGTGACAGATAACTGAATATTCTCTGTGGTGTTAGAACGAGGAAATTATTATACATTGGTTGCTACCTAGAACATGAAGAAAAAAACCTTAAATCAAGTACTTACAGGAACCAAGGTGTCTGGCATTCCAAGAACAGCTGCCACAAAAATGCAGACTACTTCACCAATATTTGATGAAATCATGTATCTGATAAATTGCTTTGTGTTATTGTATATAGCCCTTCCTTCTGCAACAGCCTGTTCAGAATCATATCTACAATAAATGGCAACAGGAATAACAAGACACCTTTCAAAAGATCTTTTAAGACACAATTATTAAGTGATAGAACCACACGGGTAAGAGACCTACCGCAACAATTGAAGCAAAATTGTCATCAGCCAACACCATATCAGAAGCACTCTGAACAACCAAAGGAAAATTTGTCATTTATGAACCATGGAGTATAGGTTTCAATTTCTATACAAATTCCACATATATAATATATTAACCAAGGTATGCAGTTTCGAATAATACTGCTCGTACCGGGCGGTATGTACCGGTCCATCAACTGGTACACAGATCGCCCATTACCGGATGATATATATATATATATATATATATATATTAAAGGCGATGTCATCCGGAGAAGGAAAATATATTTTTTTTTTAAATGCGACGTCACCAAGGCGACGCGACATCGCCTTTTATAAAAATATTTTATATATAAATTATATATATATATAAACGAGGCGACGTCGCCAAGTATATATATATACCGAACGATATACTGTATCGTACCATACCGAGCGAATGTCGAAACACCGGTACAGTACGATATTTCAAACCTTGACATTAATCACCATAAATAGTGTTTGTAAGTTGTGAAAGAGAGAGAGAGAGGAAGAGAGACCTTTGTGTTTAAATAGCATTGCTATGTTCCGTTAATGTTAAACTAATATGACAATTAGAAGAAGGAAATGCAATCTTGAATCTGAAATTTCCAGAAGAATGAGATGTAATATGCAAGGTTCATTGTACCACTCGGTACGGGCGGTATGTACTGGTCCGACAAGGGACTGATATGGTTGGTATATCAGTACGCCCCCATATACCGTGTGTCAAGATGCTTGGTACAACTTGATACATACCGTACCAACAGTTGATCGGTACACAAGTATGGACCAGTAAGACGAACCATGGTAATATGTATGAACTAATGAAAAATGATTATTTTCCAGATTATCGTAGGAACCAGGCACCCTCTTAAATCTGGCATAACATGGCATAGGCAATAAATCACACTCATTCAATCGGGTTATGTTTCCCATAAAATTTAGGACTACAACCTTCAAACCTCTTGACCTACTTCCTTGTCAAAATTAAGGTAGCATCAAAAGCAACTTTCAAGCAAGGTATGTAGTTTCGAATAATACCACTCGTACCGGGCGGTACGTACCGGTCCGTCAGCTGACCGGTATACGAACCGCCCATTACCAGACGGTATATATATATATATATATATATATATATATATATATATATATATATAAACGAGGCGACATCGCCCCGCCTGGGGAGAAGAAAGAGGCGACGTTGCTTCGGCGACGTCGTCGAATTATATATATATATATATATATATATATACACCAAGCGGTATACCGAATGGTATACCGAACGGTATACCGCTCAGTATACTGTATCGTACCATACCGAGCGAATGTCGAAACGCCAGTACGGTACGATATTTCAAACCTTGCTTTCAAGCACCAAAAATGTCTAATTTAAAAAGAATTTTATACGTCCCAAGTATACTTTTTAACTTTTATACTACAAAATAAAAAATGTGCATTTTTTCCATGTCAATTTTCTTTCCAATTGTAATGTGAACAGAATTAAAGACTTAATAAGCTACTCAATTGCACTTTTCTCAAGGGTGGACCTTTATAGAATTTTTGAGTGATAAGAAACATTGTAGAGTTTCTTCCCATCAGCCAACTTTAAACATTGACCATTAGGTGGATCTTTCTAACCACCAAAAAGGCCAGCAGGTTATAAGGTTAACTTATATCAGACTAACTTATTTGTGCTTTTGACATAAACATTACCCCAATGGCAAAACCAGTTATTTGCTGTTCTCCAAGAGTTCTTAAATGTTGGGCAACTTCAGGTGCTAGCTCTAGTTGCAACCAAAAATATAGATTGTCATAACCAAAGCCCAAAGTCCCCTCTCCAATAAAGTCCTCACAAAATAGGAGTGGATTGTAAATCATCTTCTAATCAAAGCCAAGACCACAAATGATGTGATATTAATTGAATCAAACCAGAGTATTATAGTCACCCCAGTTAAATCACCAATGTCCTCCTGAGGTCACCCGTATCAAATCACATGGATTACCCAGGAATCCCCACACATGATGCAGGGTCTGATGACATTATAGCCCACCATGCTGTTGTCGTCACACTTGGTGCACGTCTCCACTGGACAAGAGATTCACCAAGTAGTACAGTAAGTCCCAACTTTGCCCACAGACCATAAGTGGTTATTTCAATAACATATTTGCCACATCTTGAACCCAAAACCATGTGGGCTAAACCCTCAGGAGTACTCAAATGACTTGGTATTAACTAAATCCAATCAGAGTATTACAAGATACTATCGTTGACCAACGACCCTCCTAGCATCTTAGGCAGACTCTCTCATGGATCAATTAAACATGGTTAACAATTCAGTATCAATAGTGCTGATGTCAATAGTTAATTTTACATTAAACATATCAACTTTGAGCTAGAAGATAAAGACGATGACATCTTGAGCACATATATGAATACAAGTACTACAGTTATCAGAGTTTTTATGAAAATTTAGGCAAAAAAGGTTTACCTTAGCAACAGCAGTTCCCGATCCCATTGCAATTCCTATGTCTGCCTTCTTCAATGCAGGTGCATCATTAACACCATCACCGGTCATTGCAACCTTGTGCAGAATGACAAAAGTTCAAACATGTCGTCACTCAGCAATTTTATAAAAAACATTATGCTGCATAGACTAGATTATTTTACTGAATTAACAACCGCTGATGTAACTGGACAATCAGACAACAGGCCTACCACTTCATTCTGATTTTGTAAGGCTTCAACCAGCATCTTCTTGTGAGAAGGTTCAACCCTATCAGTATGATAATAAACCAGATATCAACTATTCCCAGATGAAAACAGTGATTTGTTGAAATGCACAAAACAATACCATTTTTTAATTGATCACCAGCACAAAACACATATTGGCACCAATGAGAAATCAAGATTTCAAATATTGGTCGGACCAGTATGTGTTGACCAGAACTTACCAATCCAACCAAGGGCTGGTACGTCTCATATTTCTGGTACTGTTTGTTTATTCATTTTAAATTATTTTGAAGTGATACTGAGCAGTATAACAATCCAACAAGATGTCAAAAACCAATATTATAGATTTTAAACCTGTCCCTTAAAGCTGATACTAACTTGTACAGACAACAAAACTAAGTCCACAATTCATCAAATTGTATTCAATAAGTGAAAGAATATCCAGTACAAAGGTTTTATGTACCTAGTGAAAAGCACCATCCTTTGCAATGCTAATGTCTGTTGTAAAGGTGGGAGTTCTTCAAATTCAGAGGCTGTATAAGAATACCCAGTGAAATCCCCCAGATGCTCAAAAGCACCAATTCGCCGACATAGAGATTCTGCTGTAGTCTAGTAAGGAAAAGACCAAATATTTCACTTGAGGGCAATATCAAATGATAATATATTTCAAAACATGATACTTACTTTATTATCACCAGTGACAACTATTACCCGTATTCCAGCAGACATACATGATAAGATCGCATTTCTTACTTCCTCCCTTGGTGGATCCAGCATTCCAACCTTCACAGGTATTGCAAGAAGATGAACAGAATATAGAATACTATCAGTGATAACACTTGTAACAAAATATTTAATTAATTCAATTTAAGTGGGTAAAAGGTGAAAAAATAAAACTATTAAATGACTAGTCATGCAAATAGAACTTCAAGTTCACCAAACATGTTATCAAAAATTATCATCTAAAACCAAAAGATTAGATAAGCAAGATAGTTGCACATATTGACAATGGACTAAAGCAGTGGAAAATAACAAATAAATAAAGAAATTTTGCTACCAATCCAATAAATGTAAGGTTTGTCTCATCCTCATGGCAAATTGTTTGCTGACCCATGGGCATGCGCTTCAATGCTAATGCCAAACATCTTAGGGTATCTTTTCCTGCAAAACTGATCATCCAATAAATGATTAGCAAAGTCTAGATACAAGATTGTCAAAATTAGACAATAAATATTAAATAATTGGCTGCAAAGAATGTACAAGTTTAGAAGTCACAATTTTCTGGCAAAATTAGTTATATGTGTGGTAACAATAGGCCAAATTAATTGTGGTAACAGTAGGTCTGATGATCAATAACTGAAACATAAATATAAGTGACATCTGGAAGAGCAGACATGAAAGATATAGTGAAATTAGACTGCTTCAACGGTAACTGATTAATCATCTCATAAATCAATAAAAATCTAGAAAGAGAATACATACCTCTTGATTAAAGTGTTCTTCCTCTTAGTCCTCACAAATTAACCTCTTAAATTTGATCCAATCCACAAATCATAGTTTTATTAAGATTAGGAGAGTGGAAATATGATAATATGAGTATAGGGCAATCTCAGTCCTTGATCGATAACGGTCGAAATCCGACCGTTACCAACCGATACAGGTCAGTAACGATCGGATTTTGACTGTTACCCCCCGATATAGACCCCATATCGCATGATATAGGGTAAAGTGATCGGTATCGCCCGGTAGAGGGCGGTCCACATATAGGTATCCTATCGGACCGATATGTACTGCCCATGCTAAGCGATATGCATCGATACAGCAAACCTTGGATAATACCATTGAATTTTAAAAGGGTTGGTGACAAGCTTATGGGCATATATTTACATAATTTTTATGGACACCATATTCTTCATATCATATAGATAAAGAGGAGAGTGAACAAGGATCGGCGTTTCGGGTACCAACCTTGTTTTAATGATCTGATCAGACCAAGATGTACCGATCAGTACTAGTGTACCATGTGTCAACACAATGGTACATACATATGCTTCACAAAGGAAGAAAGGAGGAAGAGGAACGAAGATTGAGAGGAATAAGGAAGAAGAGGAAGCAATGGAGGAGGAAGGAGAAGTAGATGCGGTGGAGCAGATGGAAAAAGGAAGAAAAGCAGGAGAAGACGAGGTGGGAGTGTACCTAGGAGATAGACACTAACGAATGGCAGCAGCAGCAACATCGAACAGCAACAATATAGCGAGAAGATGGCAAAGACGAGAACTAGGGTTGTTTAACATTACTTTTGTATTTTTCCATGGGTTATACCGGACCACCTAAAATGAGGGTGGTCCACATATCAATCCATGCCCGGACCGGTACATACCGCAGTTTTATATTGTCTCAGGCGATACGACAATCACTGAGTGACAAAGGTGCAACAGATGGCTTGTTTGAATTATAATTAATCATCAATAGATGCATATCTTAACAAAGAAATTTACAAAGCGAGAGCTCCTAGAGCCTTTTGTCACTCAATTTTCCATTTTCATATCTTGAAGTCTACTCCCGAAAAGAAAAAGATTCAAGGTCATCTTCACATTGAGTGACTCATATAGCTCCCATTTTGTGAGTTCATCCACTAGGACACCTTGGAGAAGCACATTTTTTGTCTTCTAGATTACATGATGCAGCGAATAATATCATTATCATCGTTAGGTAGTTGTACATAATAATATGGTTTGCCTTATCGGTCTATACCGGTGTATAGACCAACTATCGGTACGATACGTACCAAGCTATACCAAACCATACCGGTCCATACCGAGTGGTCCTCTATGGTACGGCGAACCTTGCATAATAATATGCTAAGTTAACATGGCAAAAAGGTTGCAGATTGGCTATTTTTACCACCTTGTACAGTATGCACTTATCCAAGGAGATTACAAAGGTTCTCTCTGACCCTTGGAGATATGATGATTATACCCTTTGTATCATCGAAGAAATTGTAATTTCATTCAAGGATTTAAATCTGTCTGTTACCATTTTCAGCAATCAGTCAGACTAGTGCAGTATCGGTGTACCAAGCATCTACAGTTGCATTTCCTAAAGTTGCACAAAGAAAGAAAAGAGACAGTTGGCAATGACTTTAATCTGGATGTTTAAGACCCAATAAAAAACCAGTTATGTGTAGGAAAACCTAGGATGATTCATTTCTCGATGAGATAGGAGGTCCACAACATCCACTCTTGGTTCATTTCAGAACAAATTAAGGATACCTAATAGGATGAAACTACTTGATATAAAGACCAATGTAGATGCCAGGCCACAGTCAAGCTATAAGATGTCAGTTTATCAAGGTACAGAAAATTTGTTTCAATAATTCCTATAAGGAGACAAGGGGAAAGGCCACTTTCTTGATCAATAAGCTAATGTGATGCCATCAATGAGTAACACTTCGAGGATGATAAGACTTCTCAATCTCATTTTGGTCTCCATAAAATAAATCTACAACAATGATAGTGAGATGAATAGTAACATGCCTACAAATGATGATGGCCAAGGAAAGGGATGTTATATTCTCAGCAAGCAAAACACAGAGAGGTGGAGTGGACAAAGGAGTTTTATTTTATTCATGTCCTTAAAGACAACGATCATGGTATCAGATCATCCAACATATTAATTCATGGGAGGGAAGATAAGGTGAAGGCTGCTTGTGGCTTTGAGAAGATGCAATAGCTACAAGTCAGACAGGATCTTATCATGTTCAAAACCTTCCTACCAACATAGAATAAAAAGGTTACAATACGATGTTAACATGGTTCTAGTTTACCAAAATCAGCAATGTAGTAATAACAATTTTACTACTCAACAATTGTCATGATCACACAACATAGAACGGGCTCAATTTCAGTAAGTACAGAAGCCTTATTTACCCTAATATGCTGACATAATCGCCAATACCAGAATTAAACTCAATAAAAAATGCCACAACCATTACAAGTTATATCTAGCAACACTGATATTAAAAGTTGCAGGACTGGTATCATTCATGGGTTTGACAAAACAATCATGTGACATTGTGGACTTAGACCTACCTCCCCAAGAAACATGACACTAGTCTTGGTGGTAGTAACCGCCTCACTCATAAGTATGACTTGTATGATCCAACTTAATTCATTATTTGTAATATATGGTTTGCAATACCTATAACGCATCATGTGCTAGCTTCATGCATTTCTAGAAGTTTTGATGAATGTGTTCTTATATGTGGTTCATAATAGGTCTTTTAAAACAAAATTCAGATTCATTGTTGAGGCAAAAAAATTTTAAAAATGGTTTAATAAGAGTTTAAGAGTCCAAAACTGGTACTGGTAGAATTACAGTTGTGTTATTAGATAAGAATCCAAAGATGGAGGTACCTAACAATATTTGATCCTCCAAATACAAGCTATAATCGAGCTACTGCTGGTTATAAAAGGTCAAAAAGTCTTTTGCTTCTAGAAAAGATTTAAATAAAAGACTAAGTTTACAGCATCTAGATTAATACTAAACTAGCTAATTACATGTACATCTGACTTGGTGCAAGAGCAAAGAAAAACAGGGTCAAGGTCATAGTCATTGTTTAAGTATCGGTCATGTGATCAACGTATGTGATTGTAGACTTATCAAATGTAAGTAGATGAAAATTTTCCTTCCATATTAGAGCTAAGTAAATATCTAGTGATCAGATGAAAAGTTCACATCCAATGATGCAAACCTTCCAAAAGAGAGACAATGAATGGTCATTGATGTGTGGCTCAACTTGAACAATAGAATAGATCAATAGCAATGAAGTCATAGCACAATATATTCACCTTCCAAAAATTAATATGAATATTCATGACATAGTATAGAAAAAGCAACCACATAGCTGACCTTTTAAACCTCTCATCCAACTCGTTGCGGATATCTGTGGTTAATGGAATAGAAGAACCATCTTCATTGCATAAGATATGTGTGCACCTGGTGATTATACTCTCTGGTGCACCTTTTGAGAACATGATCTCCTGTTGCTTGCGACTACAAAGGACGCTCATCATTTTGCGGTCACGAGAAAACTCCAGTACACATATCTAAGGAAAAGAAAATGGCTGTCAACTAGAGAAAACAGATGATGAATATCACTGCATACTTCATATCTACTGTTCAATTGTCCTAAAAATATATCATAATACATTCCAATTTGGGAAAGTCTGGAGGACAATGCAACATGAAATACCAAGACATTCAGAACCACATGGTTTGATATCATGCACAGCAAACACAAGAAAATGTTGTTGACGACGGTAACATCCTTAATGATTGGCACATACTGCATCTCTTGCAATTAGCTAGACCAGGTTAAAAGCAGAAATGGAGTAATACAGTCAGTACAGCACAGTTTGATAAGTAATGCCGACAGTTATCAACATATTTATCAAAACTAAAATGTTTGCATCAGCATATACCTTTTTGAACTGGTGCTCCCAGTAACGGTTGCAATATGATGCACGCTCATGCTTACTCAAAATATTCAGAGCAGAAGGCATAGAATCAAAACCAGGAAGGCCAACCTGAAAAATTCAATAAAGATTATTGCAACATGTTACTGAAGAGCAACTGTTACAAAATGAAACAAAAAGAAATTAACCAAAACCTGACAAAGACAAGTTTTACTGACCTTTTCCACTAGAACACGCAAGGCAACCTCGGTTGACTCCCCAATTTTGTCATAGTTTTTCTTATCGGGATTATATTGTAGTATAGACTCATTGCAAAGAGCTGAACACATTGCTATATGAAGAAGACATGGAAATTGTGCAGGAAATTCAAGCTACATAAGATGTGAGAAAAATGTCAGCATTGTGCTTGTAAAAATTCTACAGGATAAGAAGGGAAGTAGGGAACAAAAGAGATGGTAAGATCAGGGTTTTGAATACTGGTCCGTACCAGCGTATCAAGCGCAGCTCGGTACGGTACGTACCTGTATGTATCGTCGATATGCCAAGGCAAACTGGTCGGTACATCCTGGTACCGATCAATATGCCTCGGTACCAGTTAAAACATTAGTACCGTCCGGTAGAGGACGGTCCGCATACCGGCATCCTCTCGGACCGGAACGATAGCATTTGCTAGTTCTTAACAAAATTATCATGACACTGGTCACAACAGTCAAGCAGCCTATAGCTAATATGAAATCATAAATACATAAAAAAAAACATAGTAAATGTTAAGCATACTAGAATAAAGATAATATAGATACATATTATGGAAATCAAGCCCAAAATTTGCTTTTGTTGTTCTCGGCCCAGAATTTGGGGTGCACTAACCAATAAATTTAATCAAAAAACACTTTAAGCCAAGCTCAACCACCACAACCACAGCTGGTCTAAATCCAGTTTATAATAAGATCTAATAAGCTAGTTTGCTGATCTGTCCATTGACAACCCAATATAAAATGTACACTACCTCAATACTTCAATTTACTCAAGGAAAGATGATGCAGTTCATGTTAAGCAATGAATGCTACCAAATTCCAAGACAATAGATTCGAATCTCAAACCTATCAAATTTCAAAAAGATGGTTTGTATCTTGTGATAACTATTAAAACTCAAAACCATCAAGTACAAAGCACCACGAATTTAATATATATTGTAATTTGTGTTTGACTTTTATGACTTATTAATTAGGTGGTTGAGGGGATCCAATGTACAAGGTATCTATAAATGGAGAGGGGGGAGGAAGATTGGTGCGGCATATTAGTTTTTGAAACCTTATCAAACTTTCACATTTCGAGCTATTAGATTTAGCTCTTAGTTCTCTCTTGAAAAATTGAAAAAGAGAGTTTCTTTTGTTCTCTCATATCTCACTACTTTTTCTCGCCCTCTCCTTATCTCTTCATCTGTTACACATCAAAAGACTTGTGCAGTTATGTTATAAACGAACATTATCCAGCATATCATCTTCCAATTACTCATCAACCCATCCTTCCCACAACTCCACTAAAAAAAGCAAAAACAAAAATAAAAACACCGATTAAGGGCAGGATTGTTAGATAATGTCATCTAAAGGGTGCACGAAATTTTCAACATTTCCATGAAACACCCTTATGAAGTCCATAGAAGAACAAGTGTCAACTGGAGGTTAAAGCAGTAGTATTTATCAACATATACTGTAACTTGTACTAAATACTTTTCTTTTGTAATTAAGAAACCATCACATAACTGCTTTCTCATTTAGGGTTTGATAACAAGAAAAGAAAGTGAAATAAAGTTGTACATGAAGGCAAGTTGAAGATGAATTCTGTTCATATATAAGCAGTGAGCAAGTGAATATGAGAAATAAGCAAGCAAAACTTGAGACATCCAAACAAAAGCTCTGCATTGTGAAGGCCTCATTAAAAAGCCTCCAACCAGAAAGTACAAGAGTAATGTAACTCAGTATAAATAAGAAAAAATAACAGACTGTTTTACTTCATAGTTTACACACTACTCAATCTTTTCTGAATATAAAATCAGCCTGACCCAGTTCCATATCCAAATATGTGGCCCTAAGCAAACATGGAACTTAAGGAAACAAGCTTCGAATAGCATGCCATTCTTACCACAATATCTGGAAGTTTTACTTAAATAGAGATGTCTTATAGATTTCCTTGTTTTACTCTTAGGGACTAAACTGCTTCACAAGTTCCATTCATCTAACAATATGCATTTTGTATACAACTCAAGCCCCCTTAAAAAGGGAAGACAGAAGAAAAGCAGTTTACCTGCATTCCAGCAGAATCAAAAATCATGCCCTCTGGTGCAAAGGTTGTTCCAGTAACTGCATAATCATTAGTGATAGGACCACGGTGCACAGATTGGACAACACAGACCTAAAAGCATTTAAGAATGTTACTGATCAAAAGACCTGGATACATCAGCATAAATTTTAACTGGAAATAAAAAATCATAAAATATGAACTCCACTCCAGAAAATACATTTTCAAGCATAATTCTTTAGTTCTGCTTCATACCACGAAACAAATCTTCATGTGACTAATAAGAGAGCTGAATGGTGAAGATCAAACATATGAAAGATCTCAAGATAAAAAATCTTGCACCTGGGCTTTTGAGTTTTATCCATCTTCATATAAAAGATATTTCTTTGATCTATTTCTATATGTATCCAAAGAATTTGATGTTTGGACTGCAAAATTTTAAAACCAGTCCGTACCGTACAGCAACGAGTGTCAAAGTAGTGCAGAATATCAGTGGGTATAGTAATTAGGTAAACTGTGGTATACCACTGCAGAAAGAAAATTATTTTTTTAATTTTTGGTATACTTCAGTAATGAATATATTTCACACTCATAGAGGGTCAGGCTAGTGCCAATCAACACTATCTATTAGCATTTGAAGACACAGTTTGAAGTGTTATTGAATTTCATGTTTAATTCAATCATTTAAGAAATGAAGGATCTTCTAAGATTTATATTAATCTCACTCTCCTCCATTTTCTTCTCTCTGCCAACGGCAAACACCATTTCCACACCCCATATATCACTCAGAAGCTCAATACTAAACAAGTACTACCCACACCCAAGTCTAACGCAACTAGAACAAACATTAAATTTAATCAGCATCTAGAAACCCCGGGGGTCTAGTACTGAAAGTCAGGTTGGGTTGGATCTAAGAAGAGGATTCAATTGGTCTGGTTCAGCTTGGATATAGGTGCAGCAACCTGCCACAATGTTAGAGATTACACCTCATAATAGTGTTTCTCTAGTTCAAGGAAGAGAATAAACCTCGCAAAAGAAAATTTTAAAAATAGATGACTTATTGCTGGAATATTGCAAAATATAGTCCAAGCATGCTTTAAGACGGCTTAGAGTCTCATATAAACAGGCTACTAATGTCCAATCCTACCAAATAAATAAAAGAGAAAAGACGACCAAGCTGCCCTTGTAACTAACAATAGTTCGATATTTTTTTCTCATTGACTGGTCTTTTTTATTGTCCATGCAGCGTAAGAATCAGAAAGACAACCATTTGCCCTATACGGAGTCTCACAAGGACTTAAGAGATTTCACCCTTAATCAGAGTACAATCAGGACCCTATCTGATGTGTCATTGCCCAAATAGGATCAAAGATCCTTTGCATTAATCACATATCAGCCACTCCTCTGTAAAATCAGGAAGATACCAGTCTCTTGCTCATGAATAGAGTGGACCCTGTTCCCCTATTTGAATGAGAAGTTCCCTATTTCCATATATGCACAAGGAGCCCTGCTCCCCTATTTAAATGAAAATTCCCTATCTTCTTTATGCACAAGGAGAGGGTTGCTAGGTCCTAAGGACTGGATGGACCTTTAAGAATTATGCAGCTACTACTGCTATTTTGTTGTTGTTCCTCAGTTCTGTTGTCACGGCCATTATCTATGGTCAGCATCCAAAAAGAAAGAAGACAATGGAACTACCCGCCCCTCCTTGGATTTCACCTCACCCGCAAGATGAAACATTGATATCACCAATTTAGAACATGAGATCGGTGGATAGCTTGGGCTCGTTAATGTTAGAAATAGGTTGTTTTGCTCGCACTTCATCTCAATCATTATGCTCAAACTTGATTCTCATGGTGTGGTAACAGATAAAAGGTGGTTCCTATACCAAGAATGAAATAAACTCCATTAACATCGGTGCATTAAAAGTTGACTCAATTAATTTGTCATAGAAATTGGAGTTGATGCCAGTGGTGCAATTCATCAACCAACAATACTGGCATAAACTGCAATAGAGTTTATAAACCTGGAATTACTTTGTTATGTGAGGTCAACAACAAGTAAATTGCATTGACCCATTACCAACCAGTACAGTTACATGGTAGCCCTTCAAGTATGCAGTAAATTTCATGGCCGAAAGTATATGCCATTTTCACATCAAAACATATAGTGAAATGTTTGAATCCACGATTTCAGTAATGATGGATCACGTTGCCTGTTCATCTTTATTTTCATCTTACTAAACTAGGACCATTAGATTGCTGGACTTGCATATGTGCCCAAGAGCCATCTTTTGTTGCATTTGAGGTAGATTCCAATGCACTTTTGCTGTTTGGTCAAACTCCTTTTTTGGACATCACGTTGTAGCATAACATAGATTTTTCTTTTCCAATCCAACGAACATAGTCTTCAACAATGTATTAGGTTCAATTAAAAAGGCTTGCTCTGATTATCTGACACCTTTCATCAAACATGAATTTGTACGACAGTATTAATCTATGCACAGCTGGAATTTACCTTAAAAGAAAGTCACTTATTCCTTTATTAAAAGAGGTGAAATTTTTCTAAAGGGCATTTGCAATGCAATGACCAAAGAACAAATTTGAAGATAAGAAGGTAATTACAAAAGGCAGCAAATGCAACAAAACCATTTAGATGTATTACCTTTGAGACAGACATCATATTCGTAGTAAGAGTACCAGTTTTATCACTACAAATCACCGTGGTACAGCCTAAAGTTTCAACAGAAGGCAAGGACCTGACAATAGCATTTAGGCGGGCCATTCTTTTTGTCCCCAGAGCTAAGCACCTATATGGACACAATGCAGTCATATGATTAGAGGGGAAACATCCACAAAATGGCCAAGATGTATATGTGCCTATTTAATACGTAATAAGCCATTTGTTAACCACTTCTTTACAGAATTAGGTATTTTCCTTCCAAATTAATAGACAATCAGAAAGCAACATTTGGTGAAACAAAACATCACATTGACTTGATTTTTATAATATTTGTTGAACACATTTGATTATGCCAAAGAGGTCTAAATATAGGATATTTGCATAAGAATGTGGCCTTATGGGATTTTTTTAATATGAATCCACAAAAACTTCTTCATTTACACAATGAAGCCTCCACTCTTCATATTTACATATAAGCTTCTTATTTCGGTGAGATAAGTGAACAAATCTTAGAATAAGGAAAACCCCAAGTGACAAATATGAACCAAAAATTCTCATATTGCATTTACCTTCTTAACACTTATTTTGATTTTTTTTCCTACAGTTAGTACTCAATTTTTATCTCCTTGCAGTCCAATGGTCGCAAGAAAGGCTTGTAAAACTCCTCTCTTAACCCAATTTCTTCTTCTGTCTCATCTTATTGCTCCCACCCTTTTTCCATTTATATTATCCCATTCATTTTCCTTTTGCCTTCCATCTTACATTTTCCTCTCCCAATCCCCTCTATTTTTCATCTTCTCTTCTTAAGAGGCGCTAATTGGTTAGTTGCATCTATAACCCAACCCTAAATAAAATGATTAACTAAGTGAACAAGACTAATTTTGCCAAAACCATAAAGAACTTATACGAAGATAGAAGGATTAGAAGCACCAAAACCTTATCTAAATCTGTTTGCTAAACATGACTCTTTCTTATTCTCTGAAATCCATTTATTAGCTCAATCATGGTCTTTATTGTTTCAATAGTTTCTGAAAATATAAAGCTATAAAAAGATGACAGAACAAAAGTTTGAAATCCACAATTACATCCAACCTAAGATAGCATTGCCCACGTGACACATTCAATAAGGTGTTTCCAAGTTACTAACTGATGCTAACTTGCAAAGCAGATTAGATGATCAAGCTCTGCAGACCAGAATTATCAATTTATTGACTTAACAAGATCCAACCAAGATTATGACATTTTATTCTTAAGTAGAAAACAAAATCTATAGAACATTACTAATCTCTAAACAAATAAGACTAGCTAGTTGACAGTTCTGTGGATGTTCTAATAAAGCTCTAGCAGGTTGATCTGATCCCATGTAAGAAAGATTCAAAATATACTCCAGGTTACTTCTCCGGTGTTCTCAAAAAATTAAAAAAATACTAAAAAGAAATAGTTAGATGTTTTAACCACTGTGACATGTAAACGAGGTTGATTGCATTGATTCAGTGATTTAAAAAGCGCTAGGCGCCAAGGTCCAAAAACGCCCGAGGCGCTAGGCGCTCGCCCAGGCGCTCGCCCGAGCGAAGCGAGACGCTAAAATAT